TCGGCGTGCTATCCACTTAATCACCGTCAAAGACCACATGCCGTAACGAGAAAGCCTGAGAATGTATGTTATCATTTAATAGTGCGGTTATTGTTTAGAGAGTACACACAATACACGTTTTATACCAGCCTAAGGATTTCGTTATTTGGCATATGCCTCGATTACAAACCGCAAAATACCTTTACAATAGATTTTCCTAGGGGGTGGCGTGTGTGTGTGTGGGGGGGGGGGGGGGGGGTCAAGTCATGGCGATTGACCTATTGAATAAAGGAAACGAGAGTGCAATGATGATGTTTGTCAATGTCAGTTGAATGAAAAGCGTGTAGAGAAACGTCGAATCGCTGGAACAAAAACAATGCCAATGAATTTCTGGTATTCTTAAGGAACAGCAGAGTTCTTTTTTGACGGCGCTCTTAAGGCTGTGCGCGTGCGCTTTCCAACAGAAACTACTTGACCAGTCTCGTACCCGGAGCCTTTTTTCTTACTGCGCACGCTCGACGGTTGCCACTCGACCAAACACAGTAGAGGACCTGGAGAAATCCTCAGGGAGCAAAGATGAAAACGAATGGGAGTGTTATAGGGTAGTCGATGCAGGGTAAAATGTGACTGGGTAGCCTGTGGCGTGCATGTAAGAGTAACATCTGTCGACACAGATGGATTTCCACCCCACCCATCCACCGGATATAATCGGTGTTTTTGTAGACACGGACGGATTTCCACCCCACCTATCCACAGGATATAATCCGTGTCTCTGTAGACACAGATGGATTTCCACCCCACCCATCCATGGGATATAATCCGTGTCTGCAGACACAGATGAATTTCCACCCCACCCATTTATGGGATATAATCGGTGTCTCTGTAGACACAGACGCATTTTCACCCCACCCATCCACAGGATATAAATTCAAGTTCAAGTTCACGTAGACACGTTTGACTATTATCCATCTCCGACTGTTTTTACACAAACAACATAGAGTAGGATATCCAAGGGTTAAGTTTTGACAACTTAATTGGGACGTGTTCAAACGCGGAAAAATATAAGTCAATTGTTCTTAACACATCATTCAAATGTCTGGAACTAGATTACCTACTTCGTTCACCAAATTACTCGAAATACTTCTTATATATATACTTTTAATAAACGAAAAGTAAATTCAGAAGAAAAACTAGTGAAATAAACTTACGACGGTTCGATGGATTTTTATGTCACTATTTTTCTTCATAAACTCCATTTCTAAAATTAGCCTCATAAGAAAAATAAAGTAGAAGTTGGTGTCACTTCGTGGAGCAGTTTTACTAATGCGCGCGAGAAGGACTTTCGTTTTCGCTTTCTGCTTTTCAAGATGAAAAAAAAATCATCGCAAGTTAGTCAAGCTAAACGGAGCTAAACACTCCTTTCACAACTACAATCAGAGCACTCATGATCAGTTGATTCAATAGTTCAGTAATTAATATTGCCTCTATATTAGAACAATTGGTTGGCTATATTTGTGTAGTGAGTGCTTAAAACAATTGAAAAACTAACATAATGCTTTAGATATTATATGTTATTATTATCATAATTCATTAGCAATACTCTAGGATTCGGTAGTTCAATTTATTCATTACAACTTTACCTGTTAAATATCCTGCATCAGAGAGGTATCTCGCGTAACTTTTTCTCTCGGGTCCTGCTCTCCAGTTCGGTGAAGAACAATTGATGTTGTTCGTCAAGGTGTTGTGATTATGCGCGTACATGCCGGTTAAAATCGATGATCGAGAAGGACAACAAATCGGTGAAGTCACAAACGCATTGACAAAGGCAGCTCCTGAAGAAAAGATTTCACGAGTCTTGTTCATAACCCACATTGACCCCAATTCACTGTCTTGATCATCGGTTAAAATGAATATAATGTTGGGTTTTGATTGAGCTTTATTCCTCTTTCGTCCTTGTGTAGTTTGACACAAGAAGCACAATAAAAACAAGAGTGGATAGAGAAGTTTCATATCGATACCACAGCAATACACCATGATGTTTTGGCTTGCTCTTTGAAGACAGTCTGAATCTTTAGCCGATCAGTTCGAGTAATTCTGTGACTTGACCGACTGTAGAGACAACGTATATTAATTAGTATTGTGTGAAAAAACCTAGACGTTTACCAATAGAATTTGGAAAACAATAATGAATTAATAGAGTCTGATGAATTGATGAAGTCATGCCGCTTTGGGGAACTGACTGAATGCCAATCTACGACTCGGCTGTCTTGCCGCTCTTATTTCAATCGCAACTACTTGGCAAATTGAACTAGAAAGTTTTTTTCTCGCGAATGATTATCCTTGGTATGAATTACTTAATGACTCATGACTTCGATTATCATATTTGGAGTCTATTTTTACGTGATTAGAAGATTTTCTTGGCTGGTCAATGAAGTTATCATCGATGCCCAAACACGCGTAATTTCCATCTTAATAAACATTGTATTTGTACTTACTTTATAGAGGTGAATTCCTAACCCGCGTTAGTGAATATAGCGACTATCAGACACTTTGAAGTCATTCTAAGTATTACTCAAAATATTCAAGACGATTTTTGTCTTCTAACAGCGGCGAGACCGCTTGGCTTGTTCTCCTTTGGGAATGCTTTCGGGATAACGTGTATCCAGACTCCCACAGACTGCTGAATGACCTATTAGGTGACCAGGGCTCAGCCAGAGGTGACCTAATCGACTAAAAACTTCCCTTAGAATTCCTAAACCTTTCAACAACATAATTTGACATTGAAATATTTTTTGATGATTTTAAAAGTCATTAGTGAATTCGACGTGTTAATAAGATACTTTTTAGCATCTCCTTCCACTAACCGCCTGATTTTTAATTCTAATATTCACTACTTTGTGGGGGTTTTTCGTTGATTTTCCCATTAACTTTGAGTTAAATCAGATCATATATCTTATGATGTAATCGCTGTTGGCAAAGATACCTTGATGAGTGACCTCTGGTCAAATGCAAAAGTTTTTTTCTTTTTATACTCGTCGCGGACACGTCTCGTCACTTGACTGACTTACTATACCAGTAGTCTTTACGTAGTTTTTTTGGATGATTTCCTTATGCGTTTATTAAAGAAGCCATCACTCGTCTAGAATCCTTCATGGGTTTATCTACGTGATCAAAGACCGTGTTGAGTGAAAAATCAGACGAGATCGCAAGATGTAGATAAATGTGCCAAAATCGTATGATCAGCTCAGCCCACCTCACGCTATTCCTGCATTCTCCTCTCTACAGCCATTCGCCCACCCTTTTTCAGTTTAGATACAAACCCGGCTGAGTGCCTAAAGTGAGTTTGTTGACAGTTTAGACGAGAAACTATTGAAAATTAAAAGCTCGTGTTTACAGCTCAAAGATTCTCTTGAAAGAAAAGGGTGTGTTTTAAACTTAAGTCGCGCCCAACGGCAAGCCCTCTTAGAAGCAGTTACCGTTGATATCGGTCTCGGGCGGAAGGATGGCCTTTCAGTACTAGTGGGAGGAATAGTGATACTCTCATATAGTTCATATCACTGGGTACGCCCCGCTTGTAGCATAATTTTACTATATATTGCCTTTTACAGGTAACTTCTGCGTTTTAATGATTAACTATACCTAACAAAAAGGATTCTACTTTCGAACTAACAATTTCACGGAGTATTTTTGTAGTGAGCGGTTGGTAAAATCGTCGGGTTTTAATCAGTTCTATCGGTATATCATTGATCCACCCTCAGGCTATACTTAATTTCTCAGTTACATTATCAAGCCGTTTAGACGAGCCGATTGATAGACTTATTGTTTTCCAAACGTAAAACCCCTACAAATGATCTTATTCACTCGCCAGGAATAAAGAGCCAGCGCAACCTCTATAGTTTGCTTCAAAACTGAATACAAATAAATAAGTGAGAGAAAATTAATCCTTCCTTTGAATTATATCTATACTCCGTGTGTTTAAACATTTTCAACTGCTAAACAAAGAAATAATACTCTAGGGAACGACACGTGGTCCGTAATACAAAACATTAAGCCCAAACTAAAGAGGTCTTTTTGCACAACATTTCTTCAAAATCAGTTTGCCAATTGATGCAAGACAGCTCGCGATACATGAATACTTAATATATTCGCTTTTCTAAAAATGCACTCAAAAATCGAATGAATTGCTTTGAATTCGGCTTCAACTCGATTGATAAGCTTGAGTTCGATTCAAGAGTTTAGCCCTGAATGATTTCTCGCTGCGATAATTTCCTGACATGAACAAAGTCCTCCAAGTATGTATTATACATTTTTTAGATGTTTCTAGAAAGATTCCATTCATTATTTGAAAATATGATTGCGATCAGTTACGGCTCTTCACTCGGTCGTGATATGAGATTTGAAGATTTTCTCATTTTTCTCTTCTTTCGATTTTTCTTTCACTTTCCTATCCATCCCTCTCGATGGAGAAAATTATCCAACTCAAAATGTACCAAACAAACAATAGTTTCGGTAAAAAAAGACTTCGATCCACGGCTCCCCTGCTTTGAAGATTTTATCAGCCAAATTTTTAAAAACGTTCTCTCAGGATTTCAGAACATTCTTAGATATTTATTATCGAAATAAGATGGATAAAAGTTGTCTCTCGACTTTAAATCTTTAAAATGCTGGAAGTTTCGGCTTCGCAATTTAATATTGAAATAAGGGAAATAATAGATTTTTTAAATGGAAAAAAAGGAAGGAAAGAAATAATTTTTTAAATTGTTTTTTGTTGTTGTTGTTGATGCTGTTGTTGTGGTTTCCGTTGTCGTATCACGGAGTGAAAAAACTGAAATCTATAGTCACACAGCTCGTAGACTTTACTGCTTCATCTAAGTCACAAGCATGTGGATTCACATTAATTGATAGGAATAAAATAATATATTATACGACGTTAGTACCTTTCGGCAATAATATGAAATTTTGGTAGGAATGCTAGTCAGCAACGTCATAATGGAATCTACATTACTATATATATATATATATATGTATATATATATATATACATTGATCCTTTTGTGGTATAATGCAATTTTTCAATCGTTTTTTGGAGAGCCTCGCTATCGTGCCAGAATTTTTATATTAATATCTCGCAAGCCAACGAGGCCTGTTAGAAGTTGGTTTCAAAATATTACTGTATCGTGCAAATATTTCAAAACACCAGTTGGCCTTCGACCTCAGTGGTGCCGAAATGGTTTTCCAACATGCCAAAATACTTCTATAGTTTGGTCATTTTTTTCCAAACATGTAAATTTGATCATGAAAGCCAGATATTATTTCCGGCACAGTCCGGAAATTTACACTAAGAGTGGCATGTGGTTTCCATGACAACAATCGACCTTGTTCTCATTTCTACCTCATGCTTACCACGTGCTATATGATTCGTAAGCTTCAACAAGTATCGAAACTTCTTTTCACAAGCGTAACGGTTCAAGCAATGGAAGTATGGTAACGTTTTTAGTTTGAAAAACGTTAAGTTAAAGTTGTTAGGGCCACATTTCTGCTATTCAGTGTAACCCTCTTTAAATAAAGTTTATTGATTGATTGGTTTGAGAAAGAATGATTTCATCTATATCACGTGACTCAGCTAAACAATTCCAGACGCGGCAGATTTGTCGGCATTTTATTGGCTTCCGTCTTTCGAAAACAATTTTTGATTTTACCGCCAAACTCCGCATTTCGAAAGTTTTAAGAATATTATATTTAAAAAGTCTTAGTTGGAGTTATGTATCCATAATATTGATGTGTCAAGCATTAATGGTAAACAAAGATGTGACGCAAAGGAGTGATACTTGGTCTGAAATGGGAAAAGCCGAAAGTGTTTTTTTACATTAATTGTATTTCATATCAAGTTTCGTTGTCACTCAAACGAATTCGCGAAAGTTTCATTGATTCTGGATTTTTGGCCTTCAGAAAGTAACGCAATCCGTCTGCAGAGGAACGCCTTTCCTCGTTCGCAACAGCGTTCGACAACAAATATAGATAATATATACGAGAGGGAAGCTGAAGTGATAAGAAAAAACGTGTGTGGTTGACAAGGAAGGAAAAGAGTTTTTATCTCATACATACTCGTATCTGCTTTTCTATTTACTACTGTTACCACTCCTAGCTCTTATCTAAATAGAAAACATCTCGCTTATCTATATGTCCTTCCTTTTGTTACCGTAAAACCACTCCTGCGTCTTTTATTCTTCCCTTTTTCACTAAGCTTCTTATGTTTCCTGTATTGTATGTGGCGAACAACAGATACATCTATATATATTCGTCGAGCATGCGCAGTAAGACATGAGGGCTTTTGATATGATATGAAATTTGTCCTTTCCCGAAGTTAAACCTACTTTATAGGATTATGTTTATTTATTTATTGATGAATCAAAAATAACCGGAGACCATACTCCCAGACCCGAATGCTGWAGCGTCGTATGGCAGCGCAAAGCATTTACGGCTATGCCAGAGATTTCGACCCCRACACCGCTATCCCCGGGAGGACTTACAGACTGATCAGGAAGCTCGGCCGAAGCCTAAGGGAGAGGTTAGTCGGCCCCTAGACCGTAGATGATTAACCCCTTGCTATGACCAGCAAACCCGAAATGTCGCTCTTATCACTGAGGAGTAAGCCCTAATTGTCACTCCTTTCCGTGTGGGATGGGCTTTGAAAATGTCCATAATCAAAGACGTATTTGATTGATTTAATTTTGTAATCACTTTAGGTAGGATGTTGTATGCCATACTTAATAAATTCAAATGGTCATATTCTCTTGTCTCGGTTTCATGCAAAAATAAAGATATTTCAAAGAAACTGAATTATAATGAGAATTATCATACATTTCTTTTTTTTTTTTTTCGATAAGAATTCATAAAATCGATTATTCTCCTCTTTGAATTTATAAACTGGCTTCTCAGTTTTACTGAATTTGCGTTTTTTTAGTTATTTGGCCCGTCAAGATCGTATGCGCACGCAACCTTGAGAAAACAGTCTATTGTTTTGACTGAATCTCTACCGTCACTGCAAGTATATGTACCTTAATCAGCGTTCGAACCTCGTACCTCGTTCTGATCAGCCGCGCCCGATAGATTAACAGTCTAGACATTAAAGTGATCAAAGTACGCAATTATTTATACGGAGGCTTTTGATCATGATGTTATTCAACGAGAGTCAAGTACACGAAATATCAAATTTTAAAAAAAACAAATTAAGTTCTCGAGATTTACCTACTTGTACAGTGCGGTTCAAGTGGCTGTTCGTCATCATGTAGCTTAGCGCATGCGCACGTGATGAATACCAAACACATTAACATACATATTACAATTTTGTTTTAAGAGGGAGGGTTTTTAGAGCGCTTTAAAAAATAAAACCTTTCTTGAATAATAAATTGACATGTGATAAGAATATTCCTATAATTATAACACAATAAAAAAAAAAAGAGATTATGAATATAAAATAACAAATATATGTACAAATTACTTATTTATCGATGAAAACATATTTGTAAAATAAATTAATAGCTCAAAACAAGAGTCCAGCTCTTCACACTGATATAATATTATATTAAAACTATACATTTAATATTAAATTCTTAATATTTCTAAATTTCGGCTACATTGGCGTTAAGGTTAAAGTCATTCAAAAATTCATTGTCAGAGCGCTTTTGTTTA